ATATATATATATATGGAGCTCTGGTAGCGTAATGGTTACGAATCGGGCTGTGAGCCACAAGGTCAGCAGTTCGAAACTACTAGCTGTTTCGCGGGAGAAAGATGAGGCTTATGAGGTTTTCTCCCGTAAAGATTTAGAGCCTTGGAAACCCTATGCAGGATCGCTACGAATCGGAACCGACTCCACAGCACACAACAACATATATATATATATACATTTATGATATTTTTACTCTGATGTTTTGCTGTGATTATATGTTTAGAAAACTCAACTTAAAAATTTTTAAACCTAATCTTTCATTCTTGATATTCCATTGATTTCTAATTGTTTACACTATACACATATGCTGCATTGCTTCTCTTTGTGCCATTGTTGGAGTGTTGCCTTAAACTAGAGTTCCTAAAAGCCTAACAGGATCAAAGATTCTTATTGCATTTTGCCAAGCTGCCTTCCAGAGAGGAAAATACCATTTTACAGTACCACCAGCAGTGCATGAAATGTACTAGTCTCTAATCTCCTTGTTAACACTACATATTATCACTTTGTAGAATTTTACTAAATTCTTAAAAATGTTTATCTCGTCAATGCTTCAGTTGGCATGTCTTGTACACATTATTGAATCCAAACATGTTTTCATTGATAGCGTGCATTTATGCCGTGGCATTTTTACTAATTTCCATTTGCTAAGAGAGGGAGTATACTCACTCAAATGCCTTTCAAGAGCTTGGTGTGTTAGATCAACCTGTGCAACTAGAGTATGTACTGTAATTGGGAGTGGTAGGGCCTGTGACAAATTGGAGAGTATGTGCTCTGCCTAAGACTCCAAGCTGAAAACCATGCTGGCCAAACAAAATATCTATGGGGCGAACCCAGGTCAAGATTCCCAGTTTGCTACCACACTGGTACCTTCCCACTTTAATCCATTCCCATCAAATTGTCAGAATGAGATTTCTAATCTCATATATATAAGACCATAATGTGACTCCAAATGTTTTTGTCAAAACACCCACTACTTCTATCACACAACAGTCTTAGGAGACGGTGAGAGTCTTGAGAGCAAGCGTTCTATGTTACATAAGGCAATCTGCCTTGAGGGAGGGGAAAGAACTGCGCAATGAGACAAACCCAGTTCAAATCACACCTTAGTTATTTAACCTCACTGAGAGACTCAGTTTTCTCATCTGTAAAATGAGATTAACAGCACCTACTTCAGAGGGCAGTGATGAGGGACCAGAAGCAGAGGACCTAATTCACTGCCTAGTACATACTAGATTTTAAGAATTGATTATAGTGTTAAAGTACGTTGTACAATTCCCAACCTCCAGCAACTGCAACAGTCGCTGGTGAACTAAAGAAATTGACAGGGATCATCTTAAGGAAGGAGTCTTGGTGTGGTGCTGCAGGATAAGCACTGGACTTCTTCTAACTAAAAGTTAGAAGATGGCAGTTCAAACCCATCAGTCACGCCTCAGAAACCCTATCTATATAGGGTTGCTATGAGTCGGAACCGACTCTACAGCACTTGCCAACATCTTAAGGCTGTTGTAACATCCTTGACTGTGATTTTCAAAGTCAAGGATATCTTGACTTTTTCATAGCCTATATTGCCAAGATCGTAAGTCACTTCAGGGCTCCTGGTAACTATGCAGATTCCTGGGCCACACCCCAGACCTGCTGAATCAGAATTGCCAGAGGTGGGAGTCAGTCAACTCTATTTCCTACCAGCACTCGAGTTGAAGAACCACTGGCTGCCATACTGGCCACAGCTATGGTGTATACACTCCACATCAGATACCTAGCTTCTGGGCCACCTGTCTAGGGGTGCCCTGTCCCCCAGGGTCTGGCAGAGTTGTCTGTGACCATGCCACAGTGAGAAAGTTATCCAGATGAATCCTCCTCTGATGGCACTCCCTGCTTTCCTTATCCCAACTATGAGGGGGCTTCAAAAAGTCCATGGAAAACATGGAATGAAAAGAGAATGGAATTTTTCCCAGACCGTTTTGAAACTCCCTCGTACCATCACTGCCACTGTGAATCACGCATTAGTACAAGAATTATTTGGTGATTAAAGAAAACTGAAAAGTATTACCATTAGTCCTACTAATGACTTCTATCTTACTTAGTGTGCTGATTATACTCAGTGGTATTTTTAACGTATTAACTTAATTTGACCCACATATTAACACTATGATATGAGCAGATGCTGTTCTCCACTTTACATATGGGAAAACCGAGGAAGTTACCCAAGGTCAACAAGATGGTCAACGCCAGAGCAGAGATTTGAGTCCAGACAATCTGACTCCAGAGTCTAGGCTATTATTTCCCGTGCTGTTCAACTACCCCAAATTAGTTGCTCTGTGCTTGGCCTTACTAATTCAAGACATAGACAATGATTACTGATATTTATGTCATCTAGTGGCTTTATAACTTTATTTAGAGAAACGCATTTATCAGAGCAGCCTTGAATTCTTTTGTTCTCATAAGGTCTTAGATTTCCCAGCCAGAAAGTCTGGCATGAGAGTCTGTAGGATAGTGTAGTTCTATGTCTGGGGTCCAGTTTTCCAGGAAAAAGCATGAACAAAATCATTTCAACTGCTTATTCTGTCTTTACATTCCCCCACATCAAATTCGTAAAGACGACTGAAGAGTCCAAAGGCCTGCCTAATGGGCTAATTTCATGAAGGAGGATCCCTTCTCCTGTACATTTTTTTTTTCCTCCTGTACATTTTGATAAATACATTCCTGTATCCCAGACAGGGGAGTCCCGGTGTGGTGCTGTTGGATAAGTAGTTAACTGCTAACCTTAAGGGTGGTGGCTCAAATCCACCAGTCACTCCTCGGAAACCCTATAAAGGATAGTTATGAGTCGGAGCCACCTTAGACGGCACGTAACACCAACAACCCCAGAGAAGAAAATGGAGACCAATGATATGTGATGGATAAAGTGTACTGGGGATTTCTGAAATGGTGAACTTGGCCCAAGACCCCAACATTTTAAACCTGTCCTCCTCTTGTCTTTTAGAAACGAACAAATAAAACAAACGTAGTTTAAAGTCACCAATTTCAAATTACATAGAGGCAAGGCTTACCAGGGTATCATCATTCTGGTCTCCAAACATTTCTTTAAAAATCTTGCCAGGGTCAGGAATTGGAGGGAATATAATAATCTTGAGCCTTTAAGAAAACAGAGATATTTTAGGTTAAACCTTCTAGCCCACAGGAACATGTCACCTAAAGAAAACCATATTAAAAGAAAGCTTGTACAAAAGAACGGGAATACAAGTCATCTTTAGGGATGAAGCAATTGTAAAGAAATTTCTAGAACAGGCTATGGAAAAGGAATGTCTTAAGAACATCAAGTTTGGGTAGGGCAAAGGGACACTCAGGATAAACAAATTAGTTATATCTTAGAATTTAAACAATAATGATACTTTATTAAACCAGATGGTGCCTTGGTGTTTATGACTTTGGAGGAAAAAAATCTTCTGAGAACAGGGGACATTCCTCTTTAATTTTTCTTTCTTCTCCTTACTCTGTCCTCTCCATTTTTGAATTCGTGGACCTACTTATGCCCTAGGTCTTAGAAATTGCAGTGCCCCCGGGTTGAGTCCTTTGCCCTCTTCCCTTCCCTTTTCCATCTCACTTTCTTGAATGGTCCCTTACAGTTTTAGGACTTTTCAGCCATTTACATGTCACACCCAAACCCAATGCCATGGAGTCAATTCTGACCCAGAGCAGCCCTATAGGATTGAGTAGAACTACCCTTTAGGATTTCAGAGATTGCAATTCTTTACAGGTGCACACAGTCGCATATTTCTCACCAGGATCTTCTGGTGCTTTGAACTACCAACCTTGAGGTTAGCAGCCCAATGTCTAACTCATAGTGCCACCAGAGCTCCTTGTTACATGTCAAAGATTCCCCAAGTTCAACTTCCAGCCCAGACCTCTCCCTGATTTTAGATCCGTTTATCCAACATCACAATCTACCAGGCATCTCAAAACTGAACTCCTCATCTTTCCTCTAAAGCCAGTTCTCTTCACCCATCTTTTCTGTCTCAGTCAAGGCCACCACTAGTCACTCAGTTTCAACAGCCAAAAATCTAAGAGCTATCCTTGAATCCTCAATTTCCCTCACATCTCTACAGATGAGCCATCAGCAAGTCCATCATTTCTACTTTTAAAATATATCCCACACCTATCGCTAACCCCTAACCCAGCCTACCATCAGCTCTTCCCCAAACACTGTAATGCCTCCTACCTAGTCCACGTACTTCCATTCTTGCCCATGTTGATTCATCACTCAGAGACTAAAGTGATGTGACACTTTTATGACAGTAAAGCACATCTCTCCCTTGTTTAAGACCCCGCCCCCAATGTTTCCCCATCATGTTTACTATACAATCTCAGTTCTTGGCCATGGCCTGCGTTATCTGTCCTTTGTCAACTTCTCCAGCCTCATCTCCTGGCACATTTGAGGAACGCCAAGCTCATTCCATCCTGAGGGTCTGGAATGTTCTTTGTTCAAATATGTAACGATTCACTTCTTTACTTTACTGGAGTCTCCCCTCAGGTGTCACTTTCCTTGGCCCTCCTTTCATTTCTTAGTCCCTCCCCCCCCCCCACAACTTCACTTTTCACTGTGTGAAATCATACTATTAGAATATTATATTACTAGTCTGACACGACTGTATAGGATTATTACATGAGATTGTACATATCACTGTTCATTTATTTATTTTGTTTGTATATTTTGCCACCAGACCATACATAAGGGCCCCTGGGCATGCAAACGTGCTCAGCTGCTAACTGAAAAGTTGGAGGTTCAGGCCTACTCAGAGGTGCCTCAGAAGAAAGGCCTGGCAGTCTACTTCTAAAAAATCAGCCACTGAAAAGGCTGTGGAGCAGTTCTCCTGTGACATACTTGGGGTTACCATGGGTTGGAATCGGCTCAATGACAACTGATCTAGAACCAATTTGGTTGGGTCTTGGATGTGTTCGCTGCTGTAGACCTAAGAGTTAGCACAATGGCAGGCACAGAGATGACACTTACTAAATGTGTGCTGCGTGACTGAAATGGTTCATTGCGACCTTAAGTGTTTGCTGACTACCCTCTAGTGACACACAAGAGAGTAAAACGCTCTCCAGGAATAGGCCCAACCTCCTGGTGTCCTCTCTCTGACAGTACTGAGCATTTAATTAGTAACAGTCTTCATTTCTAACCCTTCATTGGAAGGTGTAAAGTGAACTTAGGGCCTATCCAACAATTCTTAACAAGTGGAAAGGGAGCAGTGCCTGCAGAGAGCATTCACCACTTATCTCACCAGAAAATGGGCACAAGATTACTTCTTCCCCGTTCCATTCTACCAAAAGTGACTTGTGGCTAAAATGCTTCTCAATATACAGGGCACACATAAAACCCGAAGAGTAAGAACCACAGAAACTGCACAAGCAGAAAGTACAGAACCTGCCTGGGTGGCTGCCTTACCTTTTTAAATAAAGCAGGAGGACTATGATTGCACCTGCAACAATGACTGGGATGCTGAGCAGTACAGCGATGTAGAATGTGGAGTTGGGTTTCTTACCTGGAAAATGGAAAGCAAAGAGAAAAAATCCTTTTAGAAATGAAGCAAGCAAAAGTTGTCATAGACTGGTGAGAGCAGAGAGAGTTCTGCCTCTTGCCTCTTTTCTAAAGCTCTTCAAAAGGTTCTCTCTATCTTAACAGGAAAAAAGAAAATAAAATAAAGTCCTCCTCTGGTGGTGCTGTGGGTTAACACGCTGGACTGCAAGGTCCGTTTGAACCACAGAGTCGGTGGTTCAAGCTCACTAGCTGCTCCTTGGAAACCCTATACAGGGTTGCGATGAGTCACAACCGACTTGACAGCACAGAACAACACAGAGACTATAATTTTTTTTATTGGTTTTTAGTTATCATTGGTATTGCTGTTAAGTACTGCTGTGTCAGTTCTGACTCATAGCAATCATGTAGAGGGTTAACAAGGAGCTGGTGGGTCTGAAGAAGTGTCGACCTTGTGGTCAGCAGACCAATACTAATCCTACAGAACCACACCAGGACTCTTTTAGCATTACTGTGTTGTTGTTAAGCATCCTGGAGTCGGTGCCTATTCATACTAATCCTGTATAGGGTTTCTGAGGAGTGGTTGGTGGGTTTGAACTGCCAGCATTGTGGTTGGCAATCCAGTACTTAACCTACAGCATCACACCAGGGCTCCCTAAGGTAATTATTGTTGTTGTTATGTGTCGTGGAGTCGGTTCCGACTCATAGCGATCCTGTACAGGTACAGGGTTTCCCAAGGCTGTAAATCTTTACAGGAGCAGAAAGCCTCATCTTTCTCCCGCGGATCAGCTGGTAGTTTTGAACTGCTGACCAAGAGATTAGCAGCCCGATTCGTAACCACTACGCTCCCAGAGTTCTTTAAGGTAATTATAGCAACTATTATATTCGTAACTACTATTTTTAACTGAGCACCTATTATATTTCTGACACCATAAATCAAGCTAACCACCTTGTTGCTGAGTCGGTTCTGACTCACGGTGACCCCATGTGTTGCACAGATGGCCAGACCTTTTTACCCACCGTGCTGATGGGTGGGTTTGAATCACCAACCCTTAGGTTAGTACTTGAGTGCAAACTATTTGCGCCACCCACACTAGGTGCTGTTACATGCTTGTGGCTGTTGCCATGTGCCATTCAGTCGGTTCTTAGCTCATATTGTGCTACTCAAAACAAAGTCAAACCACTGTCATGAAGTCCATTCGGACTCATAATGATCCAGTACGGCCTTTCCAAGTCTGTGAATATTTACGGGAGCAGGAAGCTTCCGCTTTTTCACACAGAACAGCTGGTGGGTTTGAACTGCCCATCTCTAAGTCCGTAGTCCAGTGCTTAGCCCTATATGGCTACCAGACGAGCTGGTCAACATTATTGCCCCTTATCTAGACAGATGAGAAGAATGAGGCTCAGAGAAGTTTAGTGGCTGGTCCAGAAGACCTCGAATCCAGTACTGCCCATTTCCCAAGCCTGTCAGTAAGTGCCTTGCTTCACCCCTACACACAGACTAGCTTTTATCTATCTTTTATCTATTTTCATGTTTATCTTTTCCACTAGACCATGAGAACTTATCATCAGGGTCTAGCACCATTTGTACTTGGTAGCTTCTAAGATGGCCCCAGAGTCCTGGTTTGGCATGGTAGAATAAGCAATGGACTGCTAACCACAAGACTGGTGGTTCAAATCCACCAGTCACTCCTTGGAAACCCCATACAGGGTCACTATGAGTGCAACTAACATCAAATGATCACCACCTTCTGGTGTTCACACCCTGTGTAATCCCATCTCTTTGAGTGTGGCCTGGACTAACTGACTCCCTTCTAAAGAATAAAATAGAAGAGGTGATGGTATGTCATTTCTGAGGTAAGGTTATCAAAGACTGTGGTTTCCATATTGGGGGTTCTCTCACCCATTCTGACACACGTGCTCTCTCACTTGGATCACTCCCTTGGGGAAGTCAGCTGCCATGTTGTGAGGCTGTCCTGTGGGAAGCTCCCAGTGGTTAACAGAGGGAGGCCTCCAACCAGAAGCTAGTGGGGAACTGTGGCTTGCCAACAACCACACGAGTTTATTTTGGAAGTGGTTTCTCCAAGCCCAGTCAAGCCATCAGATTGAGACTGCAGTCCTGTTGGACAGCTTGACCACAACTTCGTAAGAGACCCCGGGACAGAGATACCTAGCTAGGCTGTACCCAGATTCCTGACCCAAAAAAATGATGAGCTAATAAATGTGTTTTGTTTTAAGCCACTAAATGTTGAAGTCACACAGCAATAGTAACTAATACAGCCATACCTGGAACACACCTTGCTCAGCCTTTCAATTAACAGGGAACTGAATAGCTCACCAAGCCATCTATCCCACTGGTAAAGCGTTGTTTTTAAAAGTTCTTAAGTTGTCCTATTTTGCCCCCTGGAGTCCCAAAAGATAGCCTATTTCGTCTTCTACCTGACAATCCCTCAAATACTCGTAGAGGTCAGCAATCATGACTTTCCAAAGTTATTTTTTCAACTGCACCTCCCAGATTTTGAGGTCCTTCAACATCCTGGTTATCCTTTCAAGAACAGATTCCAGTCTGTCACTGCATTCCTGACAATATGGTACCAGGATGAAATGCTGTATCCTTCTGATCTGGCCACATCACTGTGCCCTATCCCACAGCATTCTCTTGTTCTGGGTGCTATACTACTACTGCTGCCTGAGACTGCACCCTGGCGGTGCTGTGTGCTAGGCATTAGATTGCTAACCACAAGGTCGGCAGTTCAAACCCACCAGCCACTTTACAGGTCAAAGATGAAGCTATCTGTTTCTGTCAAGATTTACAGAGGTCTCGGTAGCCCTACATAGGACATCTGTGAGTCGGAACCAGCTCAGTGACAGTAAGTGAAGGCTGCATATACAGTTTGCAGATATTTAAGGTTCCAGCAGTGAGTCACACACAGTAGCTTACAGTCAAACAAAACCCATCCCACAACACAAACATAAATTGCAGGTCTTTCAAATCCTGTACTTGAGCATGACACATCGCTTGATCAGCTTCTCAATTAATCAAATTCTTTCCCCCGCCCCAAATTGAGGTATAAGTCTATCTCCATTAAATGACACCGGGGTCATTGATCCAGTTTTGATTCTATCATCTAACACATAGGGGAGCCCTCTAGCACCATACAACTGGCAGATTTACACATGCCTACATTCCGTATTTTAGCTCAGGTTAATAAAAATGGAGGACCAGGCAGAGGAGAGGAACACACCATTTGGATTGTGGATTTTCAAAGAGCTGCAGATTGCAAACATAGGTGATCTGACAGTAATTAAACAGGAGAAAAATAATTCAATTGTAACTACTTTCCGGCTGACATCAAGCCATCAGTGTATTTTCTGCTTTAGTTGAATTTCCATGCATCAATGTTTTCACTTTCAATGCACTGCTATTCCCTTACCTGTACTCATGGCTTGACTCCAATCACTCCAGAGGTTGTTATCTTCATAGCAGTATTTATTGGTTCTGACTCTTACTCTTACTTTGTTCAAAGTGTCTTGCTGAATACTGGGGATCAAGAAAGAGAGTCTACCCTTTGATAGAAAATAGAAATACACAAGGAATCATATCAGTTTATTCTCCTTCTCTGCCATTGAATCCTGATATCATTATTTGCCAAATTCTGCATATGGTTAAAACTTGTATTGCAATTCAAATGATCTGACTTTGACTCCTGGGGGGGGGGGGAAGTGCCAACCCACAGAACAAAGTGGTTTATATTTTTCTCAAAGCAGTATAAATTTAGGCTATTGCCCACACAGCTCCACCCGCCAACTGCTTTGTAAGTCTAAGCACAAACAGCTAAATTTGGATTTACTGACCTCTGAATTCTGACATTTGATCTCTTCAACCTTGAAAATAAAAAAATAAAATTAAATTAAAACAAAACAAAACATTTCCCATCAGTTACCAGTTTACCAGTGTCCTGGTGTGGTACTGTGAGTTAATATGCTGGACTTCAAAGTTGGTTTGAACTGACTTGATGGCACTTTTTAACAACCAGTTTAACAAACTTACCTTTAATCTCATTAAAAGAGGAGCCAGTATAGTGAATACAATTTGGTCTCCTTAGTAAGTGCTACAGAGTCAATTCCATATGCATATGAAAAAAAAAAAAGAAACAGAATATTGACTCCTACACCTCACACTTGGTAGCTATATGATAAGCACTGAACTGCGAACTACAAGGTCCACAGTTTGAGCCTGCCAGCTGCTCCATGGGAGAAAGACGAGGCTTTCTGCTCCTGTGGAGATTCAAAGCCTTGAAAACCCTGTTGATATGAGTCAGAACCTACTCGACAGCACTGAACAACAACATCCCTCACACTAGTCACAAAATCAATTTCAGATGGGTTGTAGATCTAAACACAAAAGGCTTAGTAAGTGAACAAATCAACAAATATACAGAGAAAATAAGCTCTTCAATGAAACGTATAAAGTGGTCTATATTAAACTTAAAAAATTATTTCCGTATATCAAAAAAACTATATTAAGAAAAGAAAAAGGTGACAGCATGGGAGAAGACAGTTGCAATTTATGACAAAGAATTTTTTATATTATTACAGGCATCACAAACACACACACACAGGTAAGTCAAAAAGTACTTCTATAAAATCATTGTTGTGTTGTTATGTCTCGTGGAGTCAGTCGGTTCCGACTGATAGCAACCCTGTATAGGGTTTCCCAGGCTGTAAATCTCTACGGGAGCAGAAAGCCTCATCTTTCTCCCACGGAACAGCTGGTAGTTTTGAACTGCTAACCCTGAGGTTAGCAGCCCAATTCGTAACCACTACACTAATCATAGAACCCTTTATTAAACAAAAAAATCCAAATGTGAAGCTACTAATTCTTGAGATGCCCTCATCTGTGTTTCTACACTTCTGAAGGCAGTGCTCCATCTCTCTAATGTTTCCCAAAAGAATTCAGCACTCTTCTATTTTTGGCACCCTCAAGACACTCACCACCACGTCTGTCAGTTTGTCATACTGTGGTGGCTTATGAGTTGCTGTGATTCTGAAAGCTATGCCACCATTATTTTAAATACCAGCAGGGTCACCCACGGTGCACATGTTTCAGATGAGCTCCTAGAGGAAGACAGACTAGGAAAGAGGAGTAATGAACTACATATGAATATTTAGTCACTGAAAATCTTATGAATAACAGAGAAACACTGTCAGCTATAGTGCCGGAAAATGAGCCCCTCAGGTTGGAAGGCACTCAAAATGCTACTGGGGAAGAGCTGCCTCCTCAGAGTAGAGCTGACCGTGATGATGCAAATGGAGTAAAGCCCATGGGAGAAAAGCCCATGGGGCCTTCATTTGCTGATGGGGCACAACTTAAAATGAGGAGAAACAGCTGTAAGCATCCATTGGAAAACAGAACATGGAATATACGTAGTATGAATCTGGGAACATTGGAAGTCGTCAAAAATGAAATCGAACGCATCAACATCCATACCTTAGGCATTAGTGAGCTGAAATGGACTGGTATTGGCCATTTTGTATCTGACAACCACATGGTTTGCTATGCCGGGAATGACAAATTGAAGAGGAATGGTGTTGCATTCATTGTCAAAAAGAACATATCCAGATCAGTCATGAGGTACAACACTATTTGTGATAGGATAATATCCATGCGCCTACAGGGAAGCCCAGTTAATACCACTATTATACAAATTTACGCACCAGCCACGAAAGCCAGTGAGGATGAAATACAGACATTCTACCAACTTCAGCTGAAATTGATCAAACATTCAATCAAGATGTATTGATCATTAGTGGTGATTGGAATGCAAAGGTTGGGAGCAAAGAGGAAGGATCAGTAGTTGGCAAATATGGCCTCGATGATAGAAATGATGCAAGAGAACGCAGGATAGAATTTTGCAAAATCAATGATTTGTTCACTTCACATACCTTCTTTAGACGGCCTAAGAGATGATTATAAACATGGACCTTGCAGGATGGAATACATAGAAATGAAATTGAATACATCTGTGGAAAGGGACAATGGAAAAGCTCTATATCATCAGTCAAAACAAAGCCAGGGGCAGATTGTGGAACAGACCATCAATTGATCATATGCAAATTCAAACTCAAGCTGAAGAAAATGAAAACAAGTCAACGAGAGCCAGAATATGAACTTGAATATATTCTACCTGAGTTTAGAGATCATCTGAAGAACAGATTTGATACATTAAACACTAAAGACCGAAGACCAGAAGAGGTGTGGGATGACATCAAGAACATCATACATGAAGAAAGCAAAAAGTCATTGAGAAGACAAGAAAGAAGGAAAAGGTCAAAATGGATGTCAGAAGAGACACTGAAACTTGCTTTCCAGCATAGAGATGCTAAAGAAAATGGAAGAAATGAGGAGGTACAAGAGCTGAACAGAAAATTTAAAAGATCAGCTCGAGAAGATAAAGCCAAAGATTACAACAAAATGTGCAAAGATCTGAAGTCAGAAAACAAAAAAGAAGAACATTCTCAGCATTTCTCAAGCTGGAGGAACTAAAGGAAAAATTCAAGCCTTGACTTTCATTATTGAAGGATTCTCTGGACAAATTACTGAATGATGCAGAAAGCATCAAAAGAAGATGGAAGGAGTACACAGAGTCACTTACCAAAAGGAAATGGTTGATGTTCAACCATTTCAAGAGGTAGCATATTATCAAGAGCCAGTGATATTGAAAGAAGAAGTCCAACGTGCATTGAAGGAACTGACAAAGAACATGGCACCAGGAATTGATGGAATAAAAATTGAAATCTTTCAAGAAAGTGAGGTGACACATGAGGCACTCACTCATCTCTGCCAAGAAATTTGGAAGACAACTACCTGGCCGACTGATTGGAAGAGATCCATTTGGCCCATTTCAAAGAAAGGTGACCCAACGGAATGTGGAAATCATTGGAAAATATCTTTGATATCCCATGTGAGTAAAGTTTTGCTAAAGGTAATACAGAAACGGCTGCAAGCATACATTGACAGAGAGCTTCCAGAGGTTCAAGGCAGATTCAGAAGAGGCCATGGAACGAGGGATATCATTGCTGATGTCCACTGGATCTTGGCTGAAAGCAGAGAATATCAGAAAGATGTTTACCTGTGTTTTATTGACTATGCAAAGGTTTTCGATTGTGTGGATCATGACAAGCTATGGACAACATTGCAAAGTATGAGTATTCAGGAACACTTAATTGTGCTCATGAGGAATCTGTACCTGGACCAAGAGGCAGTTGTTCGAACAGAACATGGAACACTGAATGTTTTAAAATTAAGAAAGGTGTGCGACAAAGTTGTACTGATTCAGCATACTTATTCAACCTGTATGCTGAGCAAATAATCTGTGAAGCTGGGTTATATGAAGAAAAACGTGGCATCTGGATTGGAGGAAGACTCATTAACAACCTGTGATATGCTGATGATACAATCTTGCTTGCTGAAAGTGAATAAGACTAAATATTTACTGATGAAGATCAAAGAGCACAGAGTTTGGTAAGGATTACATCTCAATGCAAAGAAAACAAGAATCCTCATCACTAGACCTATAAAACAACATTCTTAACGGAGAAAAAGACTGAAGTTGTCAAGGACTTCATTCTTCTTGAATCAACTATCAACACTCATGGAAGCAAATAACATATTGCGTTAGGCAAATCTGCTGCACAAGACCTTTTTAAAGTGTTGAAGAGCAAAGATGTCAGCTTGAAGACTAAGGTGCGCCTGACCCAAGCCATGGTATTTTCAATCACCCCATATGCATGCAAAAGCTGGACAGTGAATAAGGATGACCGTAGAAGAATTGATGCTTTTGAGTTATAGTGCTGGAGGAGAGAGAAATATTCAAAGTTCTGTGGACTGCCAAAAGAACCAACAGATCTCTGTTGGAAGAAGTGCAGCCACAGTGCTCCTTGGAGGCCAGGATGGCCAAACTTCGTCTTTCGTACTTCGGACATATTGTCAGGAGGGAACAGTAGCTGGAGAAGGATATCTCATGTTTGGCAGGTTGGAGGGTCGGAGAAAAAGAGGATGATCCCCCAGCGAGATGGATTGGCAAAGTGTCAGCATCAATGGGCTCAAGCGTGGCAACGATAGTGAGGTTGGCCCAGGATCGGGCAGTGTTTCGTTCTGCTGTGCATAAGGTCGCTATGACTGACTCGATGTCACCTAATAACAACAACAAGGCACTCAAATCGTGTTCTTTTTCAATGTTCTTGAGTTTGGGGAACAAAATGAAGTCTGAAGTGAAGAGGCAAGATCAGGGGTATGGGGTAGATGGGTTAAAGTTTCCCAATGAAATTCTTGTAAGACCCTCAAAGAAACAGCATTGTCGTGAAAGAAAAAAAAAAATTCCTCAGCTCAACTGTCCTTGTATTTTTCTCACCTATGTAGTTTTCAATTTTCTTAAAACTTCCTCTTAATAAGCCACATGATTGTCCTGTGCCCTTGGAAGAAAATCTATCAAGATGAGCCCTTTGCAATACCCAAAATCAGTCACCATAACCTTCTGAGATGACCTGTCTGTGTTTAACTTAACCGACCCAGCAGATGCCCTCAGAAGCAACTGTTTTGATTGAACTTTTTTTCTGAAAACTAAGACAAGTACATTACTGAGAGAATGCATCTGCACGAATCTCAGAGACATCTTTAAATATGTTTTGTTTGGAATAAACCCATGCATTTATGAACTGCAACCATAGCTGCTGTCGTTCAGTGCTGTTGAGTTGGTTCCGACACATAGCAACCCTGTATAGGGTTTCTTAGGAGCAGATGATGAGTTTGAATTGCCAACCTAGCAGTTTAAACCGACCTTGTGGTCCAGTGCTTATCCTCCAGCGTCACACAAGGACTCCCT